ACTAATCGCTTGTCTAATTTCCATTATTCGTATTAAGATGTCTAAGTCGTCTCAGACGTTTAAAGACTTCTTCTAATCTAAATACGGCCATTTTTTACGAAAATAACAGAAGATTTGTTTTCTCACAAGAGTGTAAAATAGAAAGAATTACCGTACAACTGACGATAACGTTTTAAAAGCATGTTAGACAAAAAAGGAACTTACCAATCTACGGCGTTCTATCTTTTCTTGTTCTGGGTTTCTCTCATGCTGCCTCTGTTGCATTAAACCCTACAAATGTGCAAACTTTTTTTCGGTAAAGGCCCATTTCCACGGACAGAAAATTTTCCGAAAATATCATTGTTAAAAGTTGAAATTTTCAACTTCAAAATTTTTTTCCGACGGAAAATTTGTGTCGGCCAAGGCAAAAAAAACAAAATGTGGGTTTCCAGTTTCCCGACTCTACCTAGCTTTTGGACGTCGAAATCCCGATCCTAAACATTTTTATTGGATCATGCTTGTAAGTGTATCCACTTAGAGGAAAAAGTTTGTGGAAAATTGAAATTTGAGGCAATATTAGGGAAATTTATCTTTGGATGTGGAAGCACTGACTAAACAAAATGGCGTCCGGTTGTTAGGAAAATTAAAAAAAGTTTAAAAATCGACCTAACCCTACCTAAGTTTTTATAAGAAGAAACCGGAAACCCACATATTTTTTTTTGGCCGCCAATCACATTTTACAAAATTTTCTTTCCGCGGAAAATTTTCCTGAGTGGAAATGGGCCTTAAGGATTGGCAGAAATACAAAAAACCTGGGGGGGGGGGGGGCATGGATTGGTTATATATTCATAAATCACAAACCTGTGCAAGAAGTTCTTTAGCCTTGCCACTGGACTGTACATCATGAAGAGCGTTATGTGCATCCTTGATCATACCATGACGGAAAGAACACAGACCGAGCTGAACCATCGTACGGTTGTACAAAATCTACACAACACAAAAGAATTCAAATAAACTAACTTGGTCCAGTGTTTATTCTGCACGAGGAAACCTATACTAACTCTATACTAGATACCTTTATACTGGATCAGTTCTAAACTGTCCTTCCTAGAGGTCAAGTAAGGATGATCCCTTATTGATCCAGTGTTACTACAGGAGGAAACCTAAACTAAACAACTTTATTTAAACTGGATAGCTCTATCAGTTCTAAGCTGTTCTTCCTAGAGGTCCAGTAAGGATCATCCCTTATTGATCCAGTGTTACTACAGGAGGAAACCTAAACAAAACTAACTTTATTTATACTGGATAGCATTATCAGTTCTAAACTGTTCTCCCTAGAGGTCCAGTAAGGATCATCACTTATTGATCCAGTGTTCCTACAAGAGGAAACCTAAACTAAACTAACTTTATTTATACTGGATAGCTCTATCAGTTCTAAACTGTTCTCCCTAGAGGTCCAGTAAGGATCATCTCTTGTTGATCAAGTGTTACTAAAGGTCCAGAGAGATTAAATCAATCAGAATCCTATTTACTTCACCCACCTGTGTAGGTATATCCGAGTGTTGGATATTCTCCTGCAAGTGGGACATGAGCATGAGGTCACGTGACTCATACCACCGATCATGCAAGGCGAGGAAATACACGTGACATAACATCGCCCTAGTCCTGATACGGTTCGAGTCATCCTTAGAGTAGATGAACTTGCACATATTTTCCATTTGTGATGCGGTTGATGCTGTCGCTTGATCCAGTGACAATTCCTCGGTGTTTTCCTCTTCAGAAGATTTGTTAAGTTTTCGTGCTTCGCTCATTTCCTTCACACGGACCATATCCAGCTGAGGAAATATATCAGATCAGTGAAATTACTTCGAAAATATCCGATCAGATGGAGGATTGTCATTGTGTTTACATAAAGATCAGGCATTCTTTTCAAGTTGAAAAACTATTTGATAGACTGGGATGTTTATCATATTTTGAAAGGATCATTGAGAAGCTGACAGTATTTTCAAGAGCCTAGAATGAGTTCACGTGCTTGCTTGCAAGATCCAAAAAGTGAATTTGGTGAACATGGTTTTTGGACTCATGGATAAATATCAGGAGTTTGAGCATCTCGCTCGATAGAACTAATTGTTTTTTTTTAAATGGAAATTTCCAGTTTAAATTTTATAAAATTTTTAGACCGCGAAAAGCCATCCAGTAGGAATCGAACATGCGGCCCTGTAATGTTGTTTGAAGAGGTGCCCCACTCTCACGTCTTTATACAGGGGCTTCGGTGGCGAAGTGGTTAGCGCACTTGCCTTTCACCTCTAAGGCCGTGGGTTCAAATCTCAGTGAGAATTTTCTCAATGTGATACGAACCCAGTCCTCATGTGAAAAGAGTAAAGTCAACGCTCTGCCGAAAGTCGTGGGTTTTCTCCGGGTACTCCGTGTTTCCTCCCACAGGGCAAGTTGACAGGGTGGGTTAGGCACATAGGTCTGGAGGCAGATCATTAATGAGGTATGGACTAATAGCGGCTGCTCAAGCGCCATTTGTAAGCTCAAAGTCTACATCGATCTGCTTCACGTCAGTCCGGTTCTATCTATCTATTCATAATGTAACCAGTCACTGAAAAGCCCTGGGAGTGTACTGTGAAATATCTGTAATCTGTAATCTATACAGTGGTCTTCACCAACCTTGTAGTAAATATGTTCAATGTATCTTAGATAAACTCTGCAAATCATGCTGGGAGCAGCATCGTGGTCCTCGAGATATTTCATAACTCTACTGATCAATAACGTCATCGTTATCTCATCTTTCAACCTGCGAGGAAAATACATAAAAAAATAAGAGCTTTTGATCTAATACATGAGGGGAGGGGGGAAGGAGGGGGGAAGGAGGGGGGAAGG